CCTTCATGTTATCTGCTTTCTCTTACTCTTCACTCCACTCCAACTGACCTGTTTCCCATCCTGCACCTCTGTAACTTTCCAAGCCTGTCTGTCTTCCATATCTGGACTGGATTGTGACATCTCTTAGAATCCCTAGTGTTCTCAACCTCTTGCAATCACTCTATATTACTTCATTTTGGGGGTATTTATTTAACTAGGTACATGTTGCACTGTCATAGAACCTAAGTTCCTTAAGGGTAGAATCTGCTTCATTTTTGTCTTTGTATCCCAGTAGGTACTAAATAAATATGGTTGAACTAAATTGCTAAGTCTCATCTGATTCTACTCTGAAACATTTTTTATATCCACACCCTATCCACTCTGAACACCACCAAGCTGATTCAGGTACTCAATATTTCTCACCTAAACTAACGGAGCAACCTCTCAACTGCTCGGTCTCCCTGTTGGGAGTCTTCCATCTCCAAATCTCATCATTCACTCTTCCGCTGTCAAACCAATCTTCTCAATTCCAAGGTCAGAATCATCCTCCCCACTCCCCTGACTCAAAGACTTTCATGTCTCCTCATTAACTATACTCAAACTACTTATACTAACATGCAACTTACCTCTTTAGCATTACTTAATAATGACAGCTTCAAGGTTTACAATGCTCTCTGTACAATAGCTCATAGGAACCTAACAAGCCTGTGAGGTAGGAAATATGACTATCACTCCACTTTACAATGAGAAAACCGAAGCTGAGATAGGCTAAGTGATTTTTTTCATGGTTACAAAGCTACTAACCATCCAACTGACACAGGTTTTCTGATTCCAATTTCAGGACTCTTTCTACTACCCTAAACTTATTTCACATTATTGTCCTTAGTGCACTCTTATGTTCCAGCCAAACTGGATTACTAGCTGTTCTCCAATAGCATTCTTGACTCTCCAACCTCCTTAGTTAACAAAGGCTAGCTTATCTGAATAGAACCTGCATCTATCCCCTATTCCTACAATGATCTATTTGCATATGTCTGCCTCTCTCTTCCTTAAGATCTAGTTCAGGTGCCACTTCCTTCGAGAAGCTCTTACTGATTTCCTCAGCTAGAAAGAAGTAGCAGTTACCAGAATCTCTCTTCTGACCTCTCCAATGTATTTTCATCACAGACTATATAACTGTAATAAAGTACAGCTCATAGCTGTAATATAGGATAGTATAGCTATACTAATAGTTCTTTGTGTACTTGGCTCTAACCCTCAAAGAGCTCACAATCTAAAAGAAAGTTATGTCCCCTTTTCTCCATCATTGTAACCCACAGTACAATGATCATAGCAGACATTTAATACTTTAATTGAATTTTTAAAAGAAATACCACAGAGATACGTTACCAATAAATTGAACTGAGTGTTTAGTATTACACACTTTTTAAATTTCAGGTTTAGATCATGGGTAATTTTGGACAAAATGAAGTAAGAATAATCTACTTTTCTCATCTACACATAGTTTATACCAAAACATCATACCCAAAATCTAGTCAGAGGCAAGAGACAGGGGAAAGAGAGGCCTCATAGGTACTATAGAGGATTACAGACTAGCCTAGGCAATGTCAAGTGGTCAGCTACTCCTTTAATTTAACCACCTACTTACCCAGGCTATTAAAAAAATTAGCTCTCCTTAATGAAGTTTCTAAGAAGTTGCCGTTTCAATTGGGGACAAAAGGTCATGGTGGGAAGCCAGAGGGACCAACTATGATGGGGAAACATTTTTTTTTCTTCCCATAATAAAGTAAGAAGTATAAACAAATACTAAGACACACAGATAATGCCTTCATATCACACTGGCAATCCTAAACCCACTAGGAACATGTCAAATTAACTTTACTATCAAGAGTTTTTTTCCATTTCTTTTTTTTTTTCAAAAGCCCAAAACAAAATTTTTTCACTATACAATTAACAAGAAAAATATATTTGTTTACTCTTAAGGCAAAGAAAGGCAAGAAATTTTTTTCCTGTTTAAAAAAAAAACATTTTCCTGATGGTATACCTCTTAAGTAGTTGCTGATACTGGATACCCAAATGAGTCCTACAATTTTATACTGACTTAGAAGCCCCAGTGTATCCAAATCTTCAAGAAGTCATTTCCTATTTCAATCCACTTTGTGCAAACAAAACCCTAGTATCTAGCACTTAATACATATATCTAGCACTTAATACATAAATGGGCCACTTTTACCAACTGTCTAATTCCTAAATACCTGAGAAAATTGGTTCTGAGATGGTCTGGTGTTTGACACTGCCATAGAGACACCAGTCAACGTGAAATGCCTCCTGATTTATTTTACTAGAAGAGGCCATTCTTGTTTCATGGGTTAGGTAACATTCAATGCCACCTAGTTCACCATTCAAAATTAAACCAAAGAAAGAGCTTTAACCCAAACCAAGATACAAGAACTGATGATTTCTTTTTTCACTAGATAAGTTTTTAGCAACATTAAAAAAAAAGCCACTTTTAATTATTTATTTAGTTGCAAAAGCATAATTACTTTATTTCATTGAATTAAGAGTTTCAAAGTCCGTTTCACAACATCACGGTCACTTTTATTTCTAAAAGCACATAGGTAAAACACAACTGAAAATACAGCTGTCATCAACCCTCAATTGCATGTACATACAATTCTGTAAAAATCAGACATCTCCAAAATGAAAGTATCTTTTATGAACACAGCTGAGGCTTTCAATTTCCTTAAAAAAAAAAAACCTAAAAATTTGAAGAATGATATAGTTACAATTCAACAAATATTTATCGTGCACCTTAATATGCAAGTCACAGTTCTTAGAAATGGTGACAGAAACAAGTGACAGTTATACACCTTAATATTTACAAAGTTTTTCTCACAAGCACCAAGAGAAAGATAGTAAAAGTCATTATTATTCTAATTTTACAGATAAGGAAACAGAGGCCCAGAGAATTAAAGCGACTCATTCAGCCATTAAGTACCAAAATTAAGGTTTAAACTCAGATTTACCAACCACAAAGTCAGGCCTCTTTCCTCTACCAAGAGAAGGAGTTCTTAACTTTTTTTGTGTGTCATTTGGCAGTCTGGTGAAAGTTAGAGAAGCCTTCTCAGAAAAATGTTTTTAAATGCAAAAAAACCCCATAGAATTACAAAGGAAATAAATTATATTTAAATAATTCCCAAAATACTTTTTTAAAACAAGTTGACATCCTCCTGACCTAAAAAGTAAGGCCTAGCACTTCCCATAAGGTACTCAACAATGTAATAATAAGGATAAGTTCATTACACAAATAACTAAAGCATAAGGGAAAATGTTAAGCCCATAAGAAATGTACAAAGTGTCACGGGGTTGTTCTCTGGCAAGAATAAAGATTATTGGCTAGACTAAGGACTGGTCACCAAGATTATTTATGTAAATCTGTAAAGCCATGTTGCTTAATTTTAAGAAAAAAAATAATTACACCAGATACAAATTGCTTTGCTTTAGTGTTTTAGTAAAAAATCATACGTGAAAACAAAGATGTTCTGTGTCTATATGTGGGGGTGGTGATGGGGATTTTGCACCCTACTAATTCTGAAGCTGTAACTTTAAAATAGTATAAACTTATTTTATAAAGGGTATCCCAAAAGTCTTGGTACAGTTTGAAACTGCACCAAGACTTTTGGAAAACCCTGTGTGTCAAACGGCCAAAAAATTTATATATATGGTGTCCTGGAATTTGCTGTTGGGAATCTGAGGCTAGGATGAGTACGAGTAAGATTGTATCCACCATAACAATCGCCTCCTACATGGCCGTTTCTAAGGGGATTTCTTCCAGGGGTTACCACCTTAAGCTTTCCTCCTCCACTGGCACCAAAAAAGGCTCCTCCGAGTTTGACACTTTAATAGTATGTGAACTCAAAGCTCGAACGACTTTGCCTGCAAAGCTGGTTATAAAAAAAAACAACCCCAAAACCCAAAAGACCCCCCCCAATCTGCCCCGCCGGTGCCCAGGAGGCGCTCAGCCCCTGCCCTCCAGGCCAGGGGCCCGCCGCAGGCAGGCTGAGGCAGCGAACGCGAGCAAGGCAGAGGACGAGTCCGGACCTGCTCTCCTTTCTCCCTCCCCCTCCTCCCAAGTTCACAGACCGCCCCCAGCCCCGCCGTCCGGGTGGTAGCTCCAAGGGGGTTTCTCCACGGTCTACCCTTGTTTCCCACATCAGTACAGGAAGCCGGTGGTGTTTACACTTCCAGACCCATAGTAAACGGGGGACCTCCAAGGGCATTTCTTGACAGAATCTCCCCCTAGAGCCCAGGCTGGACGTGCAAGACTAAAGGGGTGAGAGGAGCTTGGAGAGGAGAAGGGGAGGGAAGCCTTTGGGGACGAAAGCGAGCGCTCCTCCCTACCCCCACCCCCACCCAAACCCCTGAGCCCCTCCCACGGGGCCAGGGCGGCCTCTTCAGGACCAGGGCCACGTTCACGTCCACACCGCACCCCCCCCACCCCGCCACCGCCCCCCGCAGGGGGGAAGGTCAGGAGGACCCTCTTCTCCTCCTCCACTTCCTCCTCCTCCCTCCCTAGAGTAGGCGGCGTGTCCGGGTGCACGGAGCCTAGGAGACCTCGCCCTCCGTGCCCCTCCACCCAGCCCGGGGAAAGCCCGAGGGGAGGGAGGCCCAGGGGGCGGGGTCAGCCCGCCAGCGCCCCCCTCCCGGAAGGGTGAGCGCAGCGGGGGAGGGGGTGTCAGTGTTTACCGAGCGAAGTTCTGGGGCGTGCTCCCTCCGCTCCCCCCCCCAAGTTAGACACACTTACACTTACACATTCTCACACACTCTCACAAACTCACCCATCCACTCCCTCTCACATTTTCACACTCATTCACACAATCACTCGTCTCCTCACATTCATCCACACTCGGTCATTCACTCACTTTCCCATACACACTCCGTCATTCACACTCACTCTTCACAATTCACACACACACACACTCGCTCCCCGCCCCTCCCGCGGCGGCGGCGGTGGCTCTCACCTGCATCCCGGGCAGGCCCGGCTGCACGGGCGAGTGAGCCATGGCTGCGCCGCCGCTCCAGGCGGGCCAGGCAGGGCCGAGCCCCTTCCCCGCGGCGGCGGCGGCGGCAGGCGGATCGGATGCGGAGCAGGACTGGCGGGCGGCTGCGGCGGCCTGCCCAGCCCGGAACCCCCCACGCTCGTCCCGGCCGGGGCGGCGGGGGCTCGGGGATCAGCGGCTCGTCGCGGGCCGCGCAGTCTCCATGCACGACGGCCGGGCGGCAGCGCCTCCTCCTCTTCTTCCTCCTCCTCCTGGGCTGGCAGAGGCGGCGGCGGCGGCGGCGGCTCCTTCCGGGCTCTCCAGGGCGGCCGCGGGACGCTCGGCGACTCCCCACGCACACCCAGCCAGGAGCCGTGTCCGCCCCGCCCAGGGCAGCAGCAGCAGCCCCCGCCCCAGCCTCCGCCTCCTAATCCTCCTCCTCCTCCTCCTCCTCCTCCCCCCGGCCGGCCCCGGGGTGTGGGATCCCCCCCCGCCCGGTGTTTCCGGGAGAAGGAGGCGCTCCAACAGACAGCCGGCCTCGGCAACCCGAGTCCGCAACCGCGAGAGCTCCGCACTTTCCGGGGCCTCGGGCGGGGGCGGGGGCGGGCTCTAGGAGGGGAGGAGCCTGCGGCCGCCGCCGACGCTGATTGGGTCCCGAGAGCGGCCGAGAAGGGCGGAGAAGGAGCGACGCGGCGCGGCGGCGGGGTCAGCTTGCCCCTCCCCCAAGGCTGGGCAAGGAAATGGGGGAGGGAAGTGATCTCGGCGCTCAGGGGTCACCAGGAACTAGGGTGGCCGCGAGCGTTGGGCGTTCAGTCAGCAGCCCCTGGGCCGGAGTACCCACGGGGATAGCAACCAAAACTGGCCAGGGAGGAGGAAGCAATCAGCCTTTCCACCCACTCCTAGAATTCCCTCGTATCCTCCCCCTCCCCCTCCCCGTTTATCGGCTGTCACGTTGTTACTAGTTAGGTTAAAAGGAACATTCCCCGTGGAAATAAATAGTCCTTCCCAGGCCGCCCCGAACTAATCCGAGATGGGGGCGGGGGCGAGATGGAGGAAACACAATAGGGAGAGTAGCCGCTGGATAATCCAGCGGTCCGATGGACTGACTTCCCAGCCAGGACAGAAAAGAGAGAAACGGGGAAGGGACCTCTAGGGGACTATGTTGCTGGAAGCTCTATGACCACAGCCTGGGAGCATTGAACGCAGCTGGCACCACGGCTACTGACAAATAAAAAGTGACATTGCTGGATTCCTGCATCTCCGAGCTCTGGACGGACCCAGGCAAAAGAGTCCACCCACAAGCGTGGGAAGGGAAGTAAATGGAGACGACGGGGGAGGGGACTACAGAGTCGAAGAAAGAAGTAATCTGCTCAAACGTATAGAGCTGCTTAGCAAAGTCTAAAGCGCTTTACCCTGGGCAGACCTGCCAGGAAGCTAACACAAATATGTTACTCCTTTCCCCCATCTTGCAAAGATCTTTCAGTAACTTTCCTTGGTCTGAGCAAAGGAAGCCAGAACTTGTGACGCCAACCCTAATTTCTGTCCTCTACACCGCACTGCCCACTAAATCTGCTTTTGATCTCATGTAACCCTCATTCCTCATTTAATCCACTTTCAGGAGTTTCTGGGGAAGAAAGGAGGTGCTGAGTGCTGAATATGGAATTATAGCACCTTGATTTGAATCCCAACTTGGGGATTTACTACCTGTCTAATCCTGGATCCTGAATCTGTAAAAAAGGAAATTAGACTAGATGATTTCTAAAATCCTTTCCAGTTCTAAAACTGTGATCCATTTTTACTCTCGGTCCCCTGGCCTTAAACCATTTAGCCATCTTCTTTTTAATTAAAATGTGAAATAAGCTCTAGCAGCCAACTGTAGTTATTCAAAGTAACTTCCTTCCTTCCTCCCTCCCTCTCTCCCTCTCTCTTTTCCTTCCTTCCTTCCTTCCTCCCTCCCTCTCTCCCTCTCTCTTTTCCTTCCTTCCTTCCAGAAGTGGAATAACCAGTAGGTTCTGAGGCTTCTTTTTGGTCTCACTTTGGTGCAAACAACACAAAAGTTCTGGGATCCTTACTAATCAATCAGAGCCAAAGATTTCCTCCTCTAATTCCTGTACCAGCTTCTTACCCTGAAGCAGCACAAAGGGAAATTCGAAGTGGCTTCCCTAATGCTCTAGGTAACCTTGAAAAAAGTCACAACCTTTCTGGACCTCAATGTTTTCATCTGTAAAATGAGGAAATTACACTTGAGTGATCTCTAGGGTTTTTTCTAGCTCAGATCCAGGTTGAAGGCCTTAGTCTTCTCTAAATTAGATTCCACTTTCTGCCTAAAAACAAGATCTAACCTCAGAGGCACCTTCATTTTGCCAACAAGACAACTGAAGCCCAGAAAGGTTAAATTAGTTGCTCAACCTAGTTAATGGCAAAGCCTTCTGACTCCAAATCCAGTTCTCCTTCCACTGTGTCAAGCTACTTGGTTAATCCCACAAATGACATTAAATTCATCACCTTATCCTGTTTTGTTCCTGATTTGTTATCTTTCAAGAATAAAGGCCAAAGGGTTTGGGAATTTAGTGTGAAGTTATGACACCAGATCCATAAAGAGAGCCATAAATTGAATTAATAGTGCTGTCATTTTTGTGAGAGAAAAAAGTTGTCCCTTTGCTTATGAAGTTATCTATTATTAATCAACAAGTATTTGTAAAGCACTTACTATGTGCCAGGCACTGTGTTTGGCCCTGGAAATACAAATACAAAAAGTTAGAAGCAGGACTAGGTCCTGGGAATGTATTACCTGCCTTCAGTCTTACATGAGAGATGACATTTATGTAAATATACTAGACAGAATGTAAAAATGGAAAGGTGCCCGCAAAGTGGCATCAAAAATCTGATGAGGAAGAAACCAATTCTAGCTGGGTGGATCAGGAATGGCATAAAGAAAGGTAATACCTGATTTGGACACTGGGAGATGGGAGGGATTGGGGGTATACATTCAAGGCTCAATGAATGGCATGAATACAAATGAGCAGAGGTGCAAAAGAACAGCGCTAGAACAAGAGATGGAGACTCATCCACTATAGCTATAATTTAGAGCATGAGAATGGAACTAGGGTGAAATGAAGCTTAAAAATGAAAGTTGCTCCCAGAATGAGAACGTCCATGGAATTCCAGGTTTAGGAGTTCAACTTCATTGGGTAGGACAGAAGAAGCCACTGAAGTGATATCCACAAATTACATCATTAGCTGGAGGTAAGAACATGCCCCAGCTTTGGGTCATAGTATATCTGCTTCTGAATAGCAGTTTACAACAACCTATGACCAGATAACTTTTCCTGCCAAACATGCTTCTATGTCAATATATGTGTACTCTCTAAGTTTGCCCCTACCAAAATACCCCCAGAAATGCAAGTCACAAAGACTCAGTCTTCTTAAGCAGTGGAAAGTGTACTAGGCTAGACATCAAGATCAATCAGTTATTTAACAAATCTCTTTTTAAGTGCATCTGTGCTCCAGTCACTCTATTAGTGGGATATTACAGACAAAACTACTAAATTACAGACAATTACTACTGGCATATTACAGACAAAAATAGAACTATACCTGTTCTCAAGAAGCTTACCAGTAGAATTACTGGTATCCTCACCTGCTGGATAGATAGATAGATAGAAAGATATATAGGTAGATAGACAGGTAGATAGATAGATAGAGAGATAGATAGATAGATAGATAGATAGATAGATAGATAGATAGATAGATAGATAGATAGATAGATAGATAGATACTGTGCTAAATACTTCTCTTCTTTGATGGGCTGTTCTCTCAAGTGATTATCTCATTTGATCTTCCTGACAGTCCTGTGGATTGGATAAATAGATACACAGACAAACAAATATGGGAATTGTACTAGATGACCTCTGAAGTTCCTTCTGTAGCTATTATTCTATACTCTAAAAATAGCTGAATTTTTTTCTAACCTGAATAGATGAAAAAATAGATAATAGCTACTCATTATTTAAATTTGAATAGATCATAGAATCTCAGTGTTGTAAGGAAACTTCTTGGTCATCTAGTCCAGTGGTGTCAAACTCAAACAGAATGGTACCTGATGATCCCTGTGGATTCCATATTGACTTTGAAAACCACTTATTAGCTTCAAATATGTTCTATTGTATTTTTATTATTTTTCTAAATATTTTCCAATTTCTTTTTAACCATCTGGATTGGCAGACATTCAGGAGAGTTGCCAACTGGCTGTTTTTGACACCTCTGATCTAACTCTTAATTTTATAGATACGGAAAATGAAGTTCAGAAAGGGGTTTGCCTGTCTTAAGGTTGCACAGCTATCTGGTTGGAAACTACAAACCAGGTCTTCTAATTCAAAAGCCATTCTTTCCAATACATCCTATTGTCCAGATAGGACAAGGAGTAAAAAGAGAAGTGGGGGGATATAAAGGACTTTAGGACTAAATTCACAGAATTTTTCCTTGACATAATACTTGCCTTTTGTTTGTTTGTTTTTAGTAAGCATATCTTTGTCCCCCTTCTTCTTCCCCCTGACCCCACCCATAGTACACACATTCTTTGAACTATGTTATATACTTTGGTGGGAAGGACAAGTGTAATACGAAGACATGATTTCTGCCTTCAAGGGATTGACATTCAGTTGCTGAGCCAGTACACATACACAAAAACATACGTAACAATATGAAATATCATATGCCAGGTGCCAAATGAATTGTGTTGACAAGCGGTTTTGGTCATTGCTTCCCCACCAGTGAGCCAGGAAAGACACAACAGTACACTGTGAACATCTGATTGGTTTGTTATAGCTACAATGCCAGTTCTTTTTTGTAGAAGACTGCCAAGTGCATAGAAAGCTTGAAATAATTCAATTCCATTTAACAAATACTTATTAAGGAGGGTATCAAAGCATCTGCATCAACAAGAAATATCCCTTTGATGTTAACAGCTCCAACCAAGGCAAGAACTTTGTCTGGTGTGGTTAAAAAAAAAGATAAAGAGAATAATGGTGATTTTCCTTAGTTACTTGTATTAAAGCCAGAAGTACAACTGTTTCAGGGCAGCAAGGTGGCACAGTGCTGGGTCTGGAGTCAGGAAGACTCATCTTCCTGAGTTCAAATCCAACCTCAGACACTCAATAGCTGTTTGCCCCTG